GATTCCTCCAACGGCACCAATTAATTTCTCCAATTCTCCTCCATCCGGATCCTTCACCTCCTCTTCCTTTCGATCTCTCTCTTGTCTTCTTACTATGCCAAGCTCCTCCAGTAGTTGATAGCCTTGTTCCGGTGTATCAATTCTATATCTCTTGCCTTTCCATTGAAATTTAAGAAAGATAGGGTATCCCCAGGTGTACACAATTCCAGCTTTCATTAACTGCGTCGTAATAGGCTTCATTGAATATCTCCAATTCTTAGTTTCAGAACAGTAGTCATTAAATATTTCCAATTTTGAGTCACCCATCTTTAGGAAATCTGGATTTTTCTTTAATATTTTCATCAAATCTTCTTTCTTTGCGAAATTGTGAAATCGAATTATTATGTTCCTAGGAATTATTCTATTTCTTCCAGCTGGAAGGCGATGAACTCTCTCAATATCCAGTTCTGACCAGTTTAGTGTTGGCGAGATCTTTTGCAACCATTTCAAGATCTCAGATTTCAGATCTTCTTTCTTGTTTCCTTCTGGATAGTTTTTTATTATTACGTTATTTCTTCTTTGGTTGTCTTGCATGTACACAAACTTTCTTTCCACATCTGAGAGCCTATTTTCATTTTTTTGCGTTTGTTGTTTGAGTACCAGTTGTTCCTGTGTACTTCTTTCAATTTCTGCTTTATTTTTTCGTATTTCTCCCTGTGCAATCTCCAGGGCTTCTCTTATTGTCTGAAATTTTTCATCCGAGCTTTTTCGTTCCGCGTCCAACTCTGCTCTCATTTGTTTATTGCTGGTCAGAATTTCTTGCTTCAATGCCTGAATTTCGCCCTTCCTTATTTCTCTTTCTTTATCAAACATCAGGTTCAAATTCAAGTTCATTTCCTTTGTTTGTTTTTCAGCCGTTTCTTTAATCAATTCTGCTATTTTACTTAGCATTTGACTGTTGCCCATCCCCAATTCTTCCCCCTCACTGCTCATTCTGCTTTCTTTTGGCTCTGTTGTTAAACAAACAAGTGACTTTTCAATTTGTGGAAAAAGACCCACAAGTATGTACTAGCCAAACCCTATAAAATATCTATTTTATGGCAGAAGAGATCTGTCTCTTCTGGCAGACCTACCCAAACAATCTTTAAGCACGGATTTTAAGTATGGGTCCTCTGTTTAATCTCTATTTTGTGTATGTATTTATGTGTTTTGTATAGAAATATGTTTTAATATGTGGCTTTTATAGAAATACATTTTAATATGTATTTTAATATGTTTATGTTAATATGTTTATTAACATTTTAATATGTTTATGTATCTGTAATGTTTTTGCAATGTTTATGTATTTTAAATATTCTGTAACCCCCCTCATGCCACAAGGAGAGGCTGATAAAAATTAAAAATGTTGTTGTTGTTGTTGTTGTTGTTATTGTTGTTAAATGGATGAAATCAATGTCCTCACAGCGAAGAGATGTGGTGCTTGGATCATTAGGGGCCAAAACTGACCATATCTACTGCAAAGTTACCAAGATATAGACACCGAAATACAACACCACCTGAGCTCTGCAAGTGCAGCATTTTTTCTGAATGAAGCAGAGAGTGTTTGGTGACCAGGGCATCCGTAGGGATACCAAGGTGCCTGTTTATAAAGCTATTGTCCTCCCAACCCTGCTATATGCCTGCAAAACATGGACTGTCTATAGACATCACACTCAACTCCTGCAATGATTCCATCAGCGCTGCCTCTGAAAAATCCTGCAAATCTCTTGGGAAGACAGGCAGACAAATATCAGCATGCTGGAAGAAGAAGCAAAGACTACCAGCACTGAAGTGACACTCCTATGCCATCAACTCCATGGAATGGTTTACGTTGTCCAAATACCCAATCACCATCTCCCAAAGTAGTTATTATGCTCATAACTCAAGAACGGGAAATAAAATGTTGGTGGACAGGAAAAGAGATTTAAAGATGGGCTTAAAACCAACCTTAAAAACTCTGGCATAGACACCAACAACTGGGAAGCCTTGGCCCTTGAGCACTCTAACGGGAGGTAGGCTTGGACCAACAGTGCTGTGGAAATCCAAGAAGCACAAATGGAGGGCGAAAAGGGAGAAACATGCCAAAAGAAAGGCATAACAAGCCAACCCTGGCCAGGACCGCTTTCCACCTGGAAACTTATTTCCTCACTTTGGGATAACATGTAGATCAAGAATAATGCTCCACAGCCACCTACGGACACACTGTCAAGACACTACATGTTGAGGACCATCATCCTTGGGCTACGAGAGATCACCTATGTAAGTAAGTAAGTAAGTAAGTAAGTGTGAAAATGTAGTCACTACTAAGCTAGATGGATCAATTTTCTGAGCCAAAAGTTGAACAAATGGCCCAGTGACTGTGCTGGCTGGATGGAGACAACATCTAAAAGGCGCAGGTTCTCATACTGCTTGGGCTGGTCACTCATTCTCCATAAAAGAAGGCACACTCATCATGGGAAGATACATGCAACAAACAAGGGAAGTGTGACCATAGGGTGTTCTCAGGCCAATGTCTGGAATGTTAAGCGCTACTTACGGTTACAAGCTTTCCGGTTGCAGAGTCTCCCTTCTTCTAAGACTCCTTCGCAGATGAGGCCATCTTCAGGAAGGGGTTGACAGGTCCGGGTTCGGGTCTGGAGGCCTCCCCCACAGTCCCTAGTGCATTCTCCCCACATCGACCAAGGGTTCCATCCACCTGAGAAGGCAGACAGGGGGAAAAACTCTTAACCTTCATGTATCCTTGAACAAGTAGAAAAAAATCTAAAAGGATGACACCTTGAACGAGCAAGAAGCAATGCCAGGAAGATGCACTTGTTATTTAATAAACATTTCTGGTCTCTCTCTCTCTCAGCTGTCTTCATTAGGGGAATTTATTCAGCACTTAGCCAGACACAAAAATTGCATCTCTTGTTAATGCCAGCAGCTGTGTCTCCAAAACCTTATATAGTGATGGCATCGTATTCGCCCTGCTTCATCTTCCTGGAGATTGTGTGACCTGCACAAAAATAATCAGTGCCCCCAAATTTCAACTGCTTACTATTTGCTAGGAGTTTTTTCCCCTAAAAGAAGACACAAGCAATCTGGACAAAATGTCTACCTACCTCAACTGAACTCATTTATTCTGGGACATTTGAGATTGTACCACCAGCTCACGGTATGATGGGGAGTTTGGTTCTCACCCACACCAGCTGAAGCCAGTATACCCATTTTGCTTAGGGATATTGAAAGGTCAAATAAAAAGTAATGCATTATAAATAAATGCCAAAAACATACAAGAATTGTTTGTGGGGAAGCATGGACCATGAAGACTTTGAGGCACACAAACATGGAAATTGCTCAAAAATACCTTTTAAAACTATTGATTTTCTATCATTTGGCACTGGAATCTCACTGATTGGTTCACTCCCAACCAGAATAGATGGCAAAATGAGGAATCAACATGGATGTTAATGCAACTGATTTGATGGCTTTGTCCTGGTCAAGACTAACAATAGACTTTAGGTTGCAGTACTAAACATAGCAGGCTTGGTTGCTAGGTTTAAGACTGCAACCTAAAATGGTTCAAAACTTGTTTCAGATGTAGGGAGTGCTGGTGGTTCGATTCTAAAGTCACCTGTGAATTTTTCCGAAAAAATTGCAGAACTTTTCAAAACTTCCAAAACTTCTGAATCGATTCATTAATGGTGGGTGTGATTGCGCAATACGCAGACAACAGCACTGGCACTGAGGAAAATCATAGAAACATAGAATCAGAGTTGGAAGAGACCTCGTGGGCCATCCAGTCCAACCCCATTCTGCCAAGAAGCAGGAATATTGCATTCAAATCACCCCTGACAGATGGCCATCCAGCCTCTGTTTAAAAGCTTCCAAAGAAGGAGCCTCCACCACACTCCGGGGCAGAGAGTTCCACTGCTGAATGGCTCTCACAATCAGGAAGTTCTTTTTCTTCTTCCCTGGAGACTAGAAGATGGAACAATGGCTTCAAACTACAAGAAAGGAGATTCCATCTGAACATTAGGAAGAACTTCCTGACTGTGAGAGCTGTTCAGCAGTGGAACTCTCTGCCCCAGAGTGTGGTGGAGGCTTTTTCTTTGGAAGCTTTTACACAGAGGCTGGATGGCCATCTGTCAGGGGTGTTTAGAATGACTGGATGGCCCATGAGGTCTCTTCCAACTCTGATTCTATGATTCTTTGAGAGTACCTTGGAATCATAACATACTATGATCAATATATATGATAGTTTATGTTCATTTCATAAATGTTACCCTCAAGCAAATGTTAAACAGCCAATATGGAACTGCTATTTTATCGGGCAGCATATATAGTCTTTTCTTTTATTAGTACAAGCAATTAGAAAAACTGCAATTCACATTGGCAACTTTAGAAGAGGAATTCTTGCCCAAAGAAGCAAAAGACACTACAGAGCAGAAAATAGTGAATTAGATAAACTTCTTAAAACATTGCCAAGAAATAGAAAATGCATCGTGCACTGGAGGCACTGAAAGAGATCACACATTTCCATACTGGTTGCACTTGTTGATTTATATCTGCATATGAATATTCTGAAATAATTACTAGCATTTAAATGGAAATACATATTTTGACATAATAGGGAAGCTTAAGAGCAAGCCATCTGGGCACCATTCCAGCCCTGAAGTCCAGATGCCTCTTAAATTTGGAAGGGACACCAAGGTCATCCAGTCCAACATCATTATGCCCTGCAGGAATACTCAATCAAAGCACCTGACAGATGGCTATCTAGCCTCCATTTGAAAGAAGGTAACGCTGGCACACTCCCAGGTATTCCACTGCTCAACAGCTCTTATGGTTTTCTTTTTCCTTCTTGTGGTCTATGTCTGGATCTGGAACTAGACATACCATTCAACACTTTATGGATCAAGCAAGGTTCACCTGATCCATCTTATTGAATTGTCTAATGAGTGTAGGACAGAATTACCCTTCAATCAAGTGTCTATCTGGCTAAATGCAGTGCCTAGAGTCTATTCATGCCAGAGAACAAGCTGGGACTTGAAACTGAAACCCATACATACATGCCCACATCAGGTGATTATTGAAGTTATATGTTCTTTCTTTCAAGGCTGCCTTAGAATATTTGGCAACCTGAGTTGGAGAACCAGATTACATCCTTTTTTATATATTACATACTGAAAAGGTAACACCAGACCAAGAACTTATTTATTTATTTTTTTATCGTGTCAGTGCAACCAGTCGATTATGTTACATTTCTAACAGAACAAAGCAAAAAAAAACACAGACAAAATACGAAAATCATTAGTTTGGTAGTTGATTAAATGTCCTTTGACCAGTATCTGACCACTTGGAGTGCTTCTGGTGTTGCTGCAAGGAGGTCCTCCATTGTGCATGTGGCAGGGCTCAGGTTGCATTGCAGCAGGTGGTCAGTGGTTTGCTCTTCTCCACACTCGCATGTCGTGGATTCCACTTTGTAGCCCCATTTCTGAAGGTTGGCTCTGCATCTCGTGGTGCCAGAGCGCAGTCTGTTCAGTGCCTTCCAAGTCGCCCAGTCTTCTGTGTGCCCAGGGGGGAGTCTCTCATTTGGTATCAGCCATTGATTGAGGTTCTGGGTTTGAGCCTGCCACTTTTGGACTCTCGCTTGCTGAGTGTTCCAGCGAGTGTCTCTGTAGATCTTAGAAAACTATTTCTTGATTTAAGTCATTGATGTGCTGGCTGATACCCAAACAGGGGATGAGCTGGAGATGTCTCTGCCTTGGTCCTTTCACTATTGGCTGCTACTTCCCGGATGTCAGGTGGTGCAATACCGGCTAAGCAGTGTAATTTCTCCAGTGGTGTAAGGCGCAGACACCCCGTGATAATGCGGCATGTCTCATTAAGAGCCACATCCACTGTTTTAGTGTGGTGAGATGTGTTCCACACTGGCCATGCATACTCAGCAGCAGAGTAGCATAGCGCAAGGGCAGATGTCTTTACTGTATCTGGTTGTGATCCCCAGGTTGTGCCAGTCAGCTTTCGTATGATATTGTTTCTAGCACCCACTTTTTGCTTGATGTTCAGGCAGTACTTCTTGTAGGTAAGAGCACGGTATAGAGTGACTCCCGGGTTCTTGGGTGTGCTGCAATGCTCCAGTGGGAGCAAGAACTGTATTCATTTCAATGGTCATGAAGGAACAGCATGCTCCACCAGATATTGGTAGCATTCCAGTTTAGAGTTTTGACACACAACTCTTTCCTTCAACACTTGTCTTGCTGCCTCCTCGGGCAATCACTTTGCTTAATCTAGTGGTAAGACATGCCCTGCCATCTTCCAACACATGCAAAATAGACAAGTTGACCTTCAAGAGATTTGAAGGGCGGAATTTCCCCCCTCCGCTTTGATGGTTGTTTTTCTTTCCCAAGCAAAGACTTCTCTGATGGCATGCACAAGTTGGGTGACTTGTCTTTTCCACTTCCTGACAGGAGATAGATCGTGTTTCAGGGCCATCAATGTCTATTGACATAATGGCATCCCCTTAATGTCTCACACAGCCTGATCGATTGCCTATCTGTAACCAGACACATTTCAACTGGGGAAGAGCCAAACACATCTCCAATCCATGCCATTAAGAAGGACTAGCTCTCCTCCTCCTCCTCCTCCCTTGGCAAGTTGGGAGGCAGGAAGCGGATCAGGCCCTGTAGTTTGATAGGTGAATGACTTATCTGTCTCTACCCACTTCTGGACTGGTGGTTAAGCAAAATGCTTAATTGCTGTAATGCATTAAAAGGCAATTCCATCATGCTACTGCAGCATTAAGTAAAATTCATGTCTGCCGTCAAAGCTGACTGCCAGTCAGAAAGGGGCCCTTCTGTTCAGTGATGGGTGAGGGAAACGGGTCCAAGTTTTACGATACAATCCATTATGGTATCATTAAAAACCATCAAGAGGGAATGGGGTAGGTTTGCTTTCATTAACGAATAGATCTCCTGGACACACTGGAAGAGCAAAGTACTAGCATGGCTTTGTAATAACTTCTCTCTTCTGCCTCAAATCTCTTTTTGAGAGGGATAACTGTATTGGATGGCAACCCAATAAGCGTTAGCAGATCCAAAAACAAACATGAAAGTGATTTGAACTCCCACCATGAAATAAAGAGTCAGACACAAGAAAATGGATCTAAAGGGCCATTTTCTGACCTATTTATTGAAAGAACTTGTAGTAACCTCTAGATGGTGTGCATATTGTTGCCTTCGTGGCTTAGTGACCACCTACTGAGCCTAGTCCCTGGGCCAGGTGTCACTCCCTCTGACCACTTCCAAGGACATGCGTGCACCAAGGATCCCAAAGGCTAACCAAAATTCTTTGTCTGAATTTCTTGGCCCATCGTAGTTGGAAAGTCATCCTGAGGGCACTTCCTCCCAAACCTTAGAGTTTTTCAAGAGTGAGAACCCTCAATCCAGCCCCAAGGGTAGCTCCAATTTTATGAAAACTTATGGGTACTTTTGTGGGTGTCCACCCTTCACCCTCTAAGACGGGATGCTATGGTGCCTACCATAACCAATTAACCTTTAACATGGCTTGTAAACTTATTAATACTCAAGGAAACCTATTTAAATGACACCACCCCAAAGCCAATTACCACAACCATCTGAAACAGTCTGGGATAGGAGAAAAACCTCCCCAATGCATACTTGTACAACCAGTCTATACTCACACTGTCCATTG